ATGAATTTTGTCGGACACCAGCTGATTATAATATAATTTTTAGCTATTGTAACCCTCATATTTTATAATAGTATATTATGTTACTTACTAGTCCTGAAAATATGTGTTTACCGGACGAGTGTGGGGATTACTATACGAGTTCGGTTAACACATTTTGGACGAGTGAGGTACAATATTTTACGCCATACTACTAAATCCGTACAAATCCTTATATATTACCACCGACTAAAGGACTAACAATCACTAGTAACCTCTATACTATGAGAGATTATGTTTTTGTTTATAAACTAACCACTCTCACTCATTGCCAAATACAGTAACAGTATATAATTAGCTGGTTAGTGTCCAGTAAAACTCATTACAGTACAGTAGTATGTAATGAGATCTCGTTTGATTAAGCTGACGACAAACAGCTGTTTTCTGGACTAAATCCTTGTGTGGGAAGTTCGTCAAAATAGTGTAGTGTGGCGTAAATATTTAAACCTAACAAAATTAACACTTAACTCAATTCTAAAGATAATAAGCCCCTATCACAATACAGGTTTGATACTACTAAGTAGTCTCAAAGTGCATTAGACTACGTAAGTAAGTCTAATAGTCTAATAGCAGTGAATGGTTATAAGAAAACATAACCTCTCAGAGAAGTTATGGATAGTAATTTTTTTTTTGTGGGTACATGACAGATTTTGACTGTTTTTAAAATTGTTTACTATTTAGGACTCGCTATGATCAATAAACCAACACATTAATTTAATGAATATTGAAAAAAAAAACTATTATCTGTTTGGATTTGTCAATTAGAAAGAGTTAATAGTAAGTCTTATCGTGTAAAATTACCCTATTCCTGATGAGACTTAAATTTGCTTGTACCTTATAGTTTGTACATAATGCACTGTGAACATTTATTTTGCTTACATTTAGATCAAGTTATTCATTTTACACTAAAATGAAGTGCAGAATTTACAATTACAAAACAATTACAAATTGCAATACCTCTGTTTAATCTATAACAGAGGATTGTTTTATACAATATATTAGGATATTGTTAGAACTAAATTATTCTCTTTTACATCTTTACTCCGCTACAAAACATGGATTAAGCAACTAGTAAAGCGCAAAGGTAGGATGATGACAGAAAAGTAAAATTTGGAACTAACCTACATTATTGTGTTTTAGCGAATTTCCCTATAGGGAAGAATCTATTACTGTAGATGGCATACTAAGACCTACACCCGGGACCAATAATTTATTTTTGCATTTTGATGTTCTCAGATGCCAAAAATACTATGTTAGAATGTTTTTTTAAATATATATGTGTGTGTGAATATGTGTGTTTGTGAACAAAATTACTCGAGCATTTGTGGTCTGAATTTGATGAAATTTAGCCTTAATGCGTAGGGCTGTATTAACTTTCATTAGCTTGCTAACCAGCAATATTGGATGGTAAAATTATATATTGTTAAGAGATTTATAAAATTTTGCAGAAACAGTTTTTCCCTTAAAACCTGAAAGCCCAATTTTCATTGCAACAATAATGTAGAGCTTAAAAACTAATTTTGTATGTTGAAGCATTGTCGCATGCTTAATGGTTATGTAAAAAAAATTTAAACCTGTACATTAAAAATTCCTATGTTATTCTCATGGAGAGTATAAGTAAACGGTTGTAGTTTGCTCATTTATGGGTATGTTTTCATCAAATTTGGCAAGTAAATTTTTTTTACTAAGATAAAAAAACTATACGAAAAGATTTTTTCTATCCATGTAGCAGCAATCCTTGGTACTCATTAAACCTAATGTTATCCAAACAGAGAATAAATCTGACAAGCTTGAGGAAATGTATTTAGTGAAAAGCCGATAAGGTATATGGAAATTTTCTTAGTCTGAAGGTTTGCATTGGCAGGGTAGGCCTATTTATATCTTGTTAGGGTTGATAAAAGAGCTTATATAATGTAGTAAAAATGCATTACTAAAATGCATTGTCTTCATGTTTGGACTAGCTTATTGTTATTAGAAAGAATTCAATTTTACCTAACTAGAAGGATAGTACAACAGAAACAAATTTTGTTTTAAAATCTATCTTAGAGAAGGGCACTCGATGGCAAAAAGGCGTCAGTTTAGATACTTGGATTACTTGTAAACTGCTTGTCTGTTACATAGTGGTCACGTTTTAGTAGACGAGGCTGACGTCATATAAGCGGATCAGAAGCTCCAAGTCACAGTTCTTGGGTTTCCCCTCTCACCAGGACAATGGTTGGTTTGCACACCACTGCCCACCCCTACACTGCCTACACTTCACTGCCCACCACTACACTATCTACATATACAAATCCATACATCATCATACACACATAAACCATCAACATATACACTATCACACAATCCACACATAAACAATCCACGTGCACACACTATTCACACATAAACAATCCACACACACATTATTCACACATAAATCATCCACACATAGCCTACACTATATATACATACACAATCAACATATATACTATCCAGTATCCACAAATACACTATCCATACATAAACAATCCACACACACACTATTCACGAATAAATCATCCACACATAGCCTACACTATATATACATACACAATCAACATAATACACTATCCAGTGTCCACACATACACTATCCATACATAAACAATTCACACACACACTATTCACACATAAACCATCAACAAATAAATACACTAATCATATACATACGTAAAACCACACTTACTCAGGTCATCCAAGTTTTTACAATCTAATTTAAACTCACATAGGACAAAACTTTTAAGTACCTATTGATTTTTTCTAAAGAAATCTTGGTATTAAAATAAATTGCCTCAATCATTAGAAAACTAGGGTTTGGAACAACTTTAGGTGACAATTCATAATTTTACCAATAAACTATGTATTATTAACTACGCAAGAAATTCTTTGTAATCTGATATAAGAAATAGTCAGTCTCATTTGATGTATTATGTGATTTACTGTAACTAGCCTAAGAATCGAAGGTCCCTACCTTGAGACTGGTCAAGTTTTGTTGGTATTACAGCAGCTGACGTATCATCTGTCCATGCTACTGTTCCTGTACAATAAATATTGATCAATTATCTAGTTTAAAAATGTAACTATTCAACCTAATTCAAAATTTCCAGATTGTGTAATCATAGCAAAAACAATCAACATTTAATGATCACAACATTTTACTAACTTACTATAAACAAGAACACCTGCTCAAAATCAGATATAATGTGAACTCAGAATCTAAGCTATATCAGTATTCTATGAATCATAATCCTAGAAAAATCCTTGCATTATGAGTCTCTATTTTTGTGATTACTATCATCATAAACTAACCAGCACAAGTAACCTTCTCATCCCGTTGTAAATTTTAAAGCAAATTTTTTGTGTCTAGTTCATGTCCAGTGACACTGGTCACTAGTGTCGGTGAAATGTTGTTTCTATTATTTAAGAATTAATTTCATGATTTGTTCTTTACTATTTGGTTGTATAGCTAGAGGACGAGTTATTGTTTATGATTAGGCTAGATTGTTTTATTTGGTTAAACGGTGTTTTAAATGACTGAAATAACAAGAAACAAATTGTTGAGTGAATTCAAAGGAATTGAAGAGTGAATTTATGAAGTGCAATTTTGATGTTAAATTTTAATTAAAACTAATAATATATAGGATAAGTTATTATGCTTACGTAGTTTATGTAATTTTGTAAAATAAATTACTGAAATTTGATTTGATTGATGTATTAAGATGATCATTTTGTAATGTTATGTGATGTGTCCTATTTCTTTGTAAAAAGATCAATGGCATGAATTATTCTTATTCAAAGAGCAGATTGTGAACTTTCTAATGGTGAACTTATTTTATGTTTAGGCAAAAACAAATTCATGTTGCTCTTGCTAATTTAATTACTGTACATCACATTTTAAAAAATCTGTTTAAGAGAATGGGAGGAGTTTTAAAAGCTAAATTAAATTTTGTTTAGTTAAAATAATGTTGGTAGGCTTTGGTAAAAACACTGAAAATGTAAAAATGCTTCTTTTTTTGGGTAACCTCCCTCCTTTCTTTTCAGTTGACTGATTTGCTGAAGAGGAAATAAATATTTAAATGCATTTTTATCAACCTGTTTGCACCAAAGTTTATGAAACAATAGTCCCGTTGGCTTTTACACATCCAACAGAGAAATAAAAGTTATCCTAAATTGACAAAGATATTGTTAATCTTTGAATGAAGGGAATACATGTTTCTCCCTAAACATTGTTGTATCTAGATTCAACTCATTAAAAAGTATCTTTTGATGTTTTACTACTCCACAATTTTGCCAACATTACTATACTCAACATTCAACTCTTATGCTGGCCAAGCAATGGTAATAGCTTTAACAAATTCTCCATATAGTGGCAATCATGGCGGTCAAGTATATTTCTGCTGGAAAATTTAATATTTTTTTCCAACAGTTACCTAACAATGTACATGTTCTCTCACTGATTTGAGAAAGCAAAGTGGCCAATTCGCTCATCAGTGAGACAATGTTAACATTGTCTCACCCTAATTACTTTGTCTCACTCTAGATTTGCAACGTGAAGGCACGTTTCTTTACCAATTTATTTGTTTTATGGTAACTGTAGGAAAAATATAATGTGCAATTCGAGTGCAAAGTGCAATCGCCTCACTCAAGAAACTATTCCTCACTCGCCTACGGCTCGTGATGTTACAATGTTAACATTGTCTCACCCTAATTACTTTGTCTTACTCTAGATTTGCAACGTGAAGGCACGTTTCTTTACCAATTTATTTGTTTTATGGTAACTGTAGGAAAAATATAATGTGCAACTGGAGTGCAAAGTGCAATCGCCTCACTCAAGAAACCATTCCTCACTCGCCTACGGCTCGTGAGTAAGGATTTCTCTCGAGTGAGGCATTTGCTCACTAGTTGCACAAATAACTATTACCCTAGGGTTATTTTTATTTGTCTTACCTGTTAAATCTTTGAATTCGGCTGGACTTGGTGGTGGAGTCTTTGAAGATTTTGGCGACAAGAGGTCTGTAAAATAAAATTACCATGGTAATTCAAACTGGAGGAGCCACTTAAAACAATGGAAAAGCCAAGTAAAACAAGGAAGCTCATTTGTATTGAGCTCATTACAGTAAAACCTCACTAACTTAACATCCGGTAACTCGACAGTCTGGTTAACTCGACCAGTCAGTCAACAGCTGACAGGACGATCACAAAAAAAGCAATTTTTCAGAACCTTTTCATATATTATTGTTGAATATTTGACATTTCTTTGAAGATTGTTTACTCAATGTTAAAATACTTATGTAAATAACACATTTATATTGAAAACCCAGTCTTTTATGTATTCATTTATTAAAATTTCAATGTTTTGGATAACATGACAAACCCCAAACTAGACAACCTCTAGGTTCACAGATTGTTGAATTAGTAAGGTTTTCCTGCAAAATCTATTACATGTTATCCACTGACACTCGCTATCTACGGTTATAAACACTTCAGCTTGACAGGCTGATGAGTTCTATTAGTGTTAAAATGGATATTGTCATAAATTTAAAACAATTTTCATCAACAACTTTAAGTAATGTAATTTCTGATTCCTGACTCTTGTATTTTTGTAAGGTAATTCAATCTGGTTAAGTGTCTCTTGGTCAGACAGCAACGTACGTAACCTACCTCACAAATTAGTTTAAAGAATATTGCTCATTGTGTATTTGAGGAGGTGCCTGATAACATCCCGCCCTGGGTGCCAATAAACCTTGCGACCCATAGTTTGGGAACCGATGGATTACATAACCAGTTTTGAGGGAAATCAAATCAAATACTAAGCCTAAGATAGAAAAACAAGATGAGGGATTTCTGAAAGTGATAATAAAAACTGTTTATTTGTTTGCTGAAATGTTACACAGCTAATTTATTCAACCGTCTTGCGCATCTTTGTGGACAACATCAGGACATTTAACTTTCAGTACAATCATAGACTAAGCAACACAAGTAGAATTGTAAATTTTGAAGCTTGTTTTTCGTGTCTAGTCCATGTACGTCCACACTGATTGCTTGGGTGTACAAACATTTGTTTCTATTATTTTAGGGTTATCTTCATGATTTGTACTTTATTATTTGGTTATATAACTAGGAGACCAGTTATTGTTTATGATTATATCGTTTTATTTGGTTAAATGAGGTTTTAAATTACTGAAATAACAAATATCGAGTAAATCGTCCACCATTTGGAATTGCAAGTGCACCTGCTATTTGGCAATCAGCAATGGAAAATATTCTACAAGGTATTGATGGTGTTTGTTGACAGTGAGACGATCAAAATGGACACATAAACCCATTGATAGGCTTAATTTATGAAACTCGCTAAGAAGGGGAGGTGTTACATCCTAAATGTAAATGTCTACCTTTACTTATTGCTTATTTATTTTAAAACTATTATCAGCTGGTTATAATGTTTACTTGTTTACTTTGTTAGCGAATTTCCCCTATATGGAATAAGCTATTACCGTAGTACTTATGGTAAGACCTGGACCCGGGACCGATTTACTTTTTTGTTTTGAGGTCCCTAGAGACCAAAAATACAATCCGTTCAAATTAATATCTATATAAATAAGATTAGAATTTTGTCTGTACATTGCTTAGAATCATGCAGTTTTTGGTTATTTTTACGTTTCATAGACTAAGAAAGCCGAAACGAGTCTTATCTCAATTTCTGTCTCTATGTCTGTTTGTCTGTTTGTCCATTCTGTGAATCCGTCTGTAACGCCAAAATGTCATTTTACGCGGCCTTCTCCTAGAAAACTAGATTACCGATCAAGGTTCTAATCATTTTTCTGTATTTACTGGATTGGTGAGTGTGTCTTTGGCCATAGAAACATGGCCTCGCTTCATAAACGACAAAACAAAATAACAAACCATCAAAAACCCAATTTCTTTCGATTTTTGTCAAATTTTCTCCTAATGTTTACTACCGGTATTACATTTTATGAAATAACGATCAGCTCTTTGGATTAGTTCTCACTTCTAGCTGTCACTGATATGTTTACATTAAAAGTTGTTTACAAATGCAGCAACTATTTCCGATCAAGTTTTGTTAGCACATCCAAACCAAGTGAGATTAAAAACGTTGTGCCTTACTTAACCGGTTTAATTAATCGCAAGTGCAACGATTGTTCTTGAGTTATGATAACCGGGGAAAATGCCGTGAATCAGTGTTGTATTAGTGCTGGGAAACTTTCCTACATTTTTTTAATCATCGTCACCAATAGCTTACAAAAAGGTTTTCGCTTATTGACGACGTTTCAAGGACAGTTGTGTAAAGTGCAAAGTAAAACATCACAAATGCAGTGGGTGATCGTGGATGTTGCTGAAATCTTGGAAGATCTATCTGATTTCGCTGTGATCGTAACAGAAGTTTAACTTACAGATGTAGCTAAACTCACTTTTCCAATGTGTTGTTCACTTTTGGTTTCTACTTACATTTCGACAACGATATCGGCACTTTTCCTATCTAGGAAGTAAAACTAAAAACGTCCAAAACCCCAGATTTGTGCGTTTTTGTAACATTTCACCGAATGTTTGCTAGATATATGTACCGATTATCGTTTAGAGATTAAGTAATCTTTTAAATAAGAAACCTTTGTTTGGATAAAGGTGGTTTCTTCAAACTGTCATTAATATGTTAACATTAAAAGTTGCTTACAAATAATGCTATTAATGGGAAATAACTTTGATTTTCAAAAACTTAAAAAGAAAATTAAAACCAGGGGGGATTAATAACTTCGGTACTGCACCCCATCAAGTGAAAGTTTTTTTTTTTTAGCAAACCATAGTGAGTTTTTAAAGCTTTACATTGTTATTGTTACATGTTACATGTTTTGTGGCCTGTGTATTTATTTAATATATATTTGCTAACGGATTAACACCTATAATACAGTTTGATTAGAAGGACAGTTTGAATTGGTCGTAAGTACTATAGTTATTTTCTTAAATGTAAACGTTGGTTTTTGGTACTACTACTTTTCCTTAGAACCGGTGGTAGCAGTAAGAATAATTTTTACGTACAAGCACATTACTATTTACAACTAGCCATTTGATGACACTATAAAAACTTTAAAATAATTGTTTTGTTTGCAATGTTAAAGCGTAGGAAATCCCCTAATTCAAATCTGTATTTGTGTGTGTATGCTGTCTGTTGGTAACGCATTAATGTCCTTCCTCCTTATTTCTCGGTGTTTCGTGGAAAAGACAAGATGTTTTAAGCATTAACATTAAGCACCTTTGTTAATGAAAATTTCAACCCGAATAAAGTGTGCAGTAGTGAGGTTGAGGTAGTATTTTAACTACTTTTAACCAGTGTCAAAAGTAACTTTCAATTACAGGCCTACCTTAGGGCTATGCCTCATAGATCTATAAAGCAATTCCTTTTATCATTAGATATAAAATATGGACTAACACGATCGTGTGACATATAATTGTGAAGCATTTGTTTTGGCTTTGAAACTGTCAGATATTGTATTTTCGAAGGTTTATATGTATTCCTATACAGTAATAGTTTTGCCAGCATATCAGGAAATATTCATATGCAAACCAACTCCTGTTCTGAAAATAAGAAGGTTTCAACTTACTACAAGATTCCCGTACGTAGAACGGGCAAAGAGCTAGTATATATATATGTGTCCGTTAGCGCGATAAACTCAAGCAAAAATCATCCAATTTGATGAAATTTGGTACAAACGTGTAAACCTACGTTTATTCTAACGAGTTCGCGAACCAGCATGATCGGACTATGGGAACAGGGGTTTACGGGGGGTTTTATGGGGTAAAAATTCGTTTTTCCCATTTTTGACCCTTAAAACTTAAAATTTAGCAATTTCTTTCCAAACCATTTTTTAGAGCTTAAAAAAACAAATAATTTAGTATATTGAAGCGTTATTATGCGCCTAATGGTTACGGAAAAAATTCCCAAAATCTGTAAATTTAAAATTTCCATGTTATTCTTATGGAGAATAAGTAAACTGTTGTAATTTGCTTGTTTATGAACATATTTTGATCAAATTTGGAAAATGTATTAAGTTCATACTAAACTATTACATTTTACAACAAAAAATACCTTTTTACCCTCCCTGTTGCAGAAAACCTAAGTACTCGTTAAAATAATGTTATTTAAATAGGGAGTAAATGTGATATTTTTAAGGAGACATTTTAGCGTAAATTCAGTCAGGCAAATGGAAATTCGCTTAGTCTGCAGGTTTGCTGCGGCGGAGGTATTTTTAATTTGTGTTGAATAAAGTTGATTACAATTGTACTTTGAAATATACATTTATTATTTGTTCTAATAACATACAGAACATGGAGAAACCTATTGAGGCTGGTGATCACTGATTAACTGCCACCTCATTACTTTTCCAGATGTCTGTGATTAGGAGCACAAATACATGTACAGTAAGCAAGCATGCATCATGAAATATAGTCTTTCAATTACCTTGGACCATAGGAGCAGCAGTAAATGCAGCATCCAGTCGAACCAGTCCTTGCGACACACCTTCAAAAAGCGCTGAGTCTCTTCTTAGCTCTTCCTTCTTCTTTTCTTCTTTCTTTTCCTTATGCTTTTCTTCTTTTAATTTCTCCTCCTTTTCACTTTTCTCAAAAGATTTTAGTTTTTCCTCAAAAGGTATTGATGTTTCATCAATTAGTGATTTTTTTTCTTGAATAGTTTCTGCTGCTTTACGTTCTTCAGCAAGAAACCTTTCATCAGCTCTTTCCTTAACTTCCTTCATTGTTGTTTTATCAGGTTTCATTTCAATTACTCTGTTCCCTTGTTCAAAAGACAACCTCTTTTGTTCAAAAGATAGTTCTGATGGTTCCTCTTCTTCAGGAGATGACACTCTCTTCTCTTCTGCAATTTCTTTTTCACTTACATCTTCAATTTTTTCAGCACCAAATTTCTCAATGATTATTTCAGTCTTTTGTGGAAGTGGTTTTTCCAAAGATAACCTTTTCTCAATTTCTTTTCTTCTTTCTGATACTGATTTCTTAACTTCTTCAACTTCTTTCTCCTCTGCTTCATATTTCTTTTCTTCCCTATCATCCTTATCTCGAAAGTCACCTGCAATGAGTTGCAATGAGTCACCAAATAAAATGTAATTAAAATAGATAGTATATTTTTTTAGGCCAAAAATCTATTACCACTATTCACCACAATAATAATGCACACTGATAGTCAACACAACTTTAAGGTTATGAGAAGAAATAATTTGAGGAATCAGCAAAAATCCTATACTCTAATATGAGCAATGTTTGCTTGTATGTATGTATGTATGTGTATGCTTGCACCAAGATCTCGAAAACGGCTCTGACGATTTTCTTGAAATGTTGTAAATAGTTTATTCCTGGCCTAAAAACGAGTTTACTGCAGATAGATTTGCCAACAACAATCTAATAACGTAGAAAAATGAAACTGAAAGTCACATTTTTTTAGCATTAGTCTTATGGGTTGCTAAGTAACCATCCTGGCTGAATTAAATAACAAGGAAAAAGTAAACAAAAGACATGTAAGTTAGTTGTCTATCCACAGTATACTAGCAAATTACAAATATAGTACAAAAGGATAAACATCAGTTGTTACTATTGAGCAAAGATTATACTGAGGATTAATCGATACATTGTAGTCAAGGGTAGCAGTGAGGAGTGTGGGATCAGTTTATGACGATTAGATAAAGGTATCTGCAATCCTTAAATACTATGGGAAGTGAAGGAAACAGGTCTGCGACGTAGGAAGTGATGGAGGAAGTAGTAAAGGCGAGCAGTCCGGAGTGTGGGAACTGTTTATGACGATTAGATTAAGGTATCTGCAATCCTAAAATGCTATGGGAAGGGAGGAAAACAGGTCCACGACGTAGGAAGTGATAAAGAAAATAGTAAAGGCGAGCAGTCCGGAGTGAGGAACTGTTTATGACGTTTAGATTAAGGTATCTGCAATCCTAAAATGCTATGGGAAGGGAGGAAAACAGGTCCGCGACGTAGGAAGTGGTGAAGGAAGTAGTCATGACGAGCTGTCCGGAGTGTGGGAACTGTTTATGACAGTTAGATTAAGCTATCTGCAATCATAAAATGCTATGGGAAGGGAGGGAAACAGGTCCGTGACGTAGGAAGTGATGAAGTAAGTAGTAAAGGCGTGCAGTCTGGAGTGTGGGAACTGTTTATAATGATTAGATTAATGTATCTACAATACTAAAATGCATTGGGAAGGGAGGGAAACAGGTCCGAAATGTAGGAAGTGATGAAGGAAGTATTAAAGGCGAGCAGTCCAGAGTATGGGAACTGTTTATGACGATTAGATAAGGGTATGGGCTATCCTAAAATGCTATGGTAAGGGAGGGAAACAGGTCCGCGACGTAGGATGTGGTGAAGGAAGTAGTCAAGGCGAGCTGTCAGGAGTGTGGGAACTGTTTATGACGATTAGATTAATGTATCTGCAATCTTTAAATGCAATGGGAAGGGAGGGAAACATGTTTGCGACGTAGGAAGTAGTCAAGGCGAGCTGTTCGGAGTGTGGGAACTGTTTATGACGATTAGATTAAGATATCTACAATCCTAAAATGCCATGGGAATGGAGGGAAACAGATCCGCGGGGGACCTCTTAGCAGCAATTTCTAATTTTTAGTTATTAATATTTTTGAATTCCTAACAATTTGGCGCAAGACCCATGAGTCTAAGATTTTTTTTGTTAGAGTTATAGGTCTTTGAAGTTACGTGATAGAAAAGGGCTATTTAAAAAAAAAATTTATTTGAAAATTTCAAATAATCATAAAACATATATTTTTTATATTTAAGCAACAGTTTTGGTATCAAAAGAAAGCCCTAAATGTCGTCTGTAATGGGAATACCCATTTTTGTCCTAACTCACAGTAGTTTTCAAGAAAATAATGTTTTTATCGAAGCATGTTGTGAAAAGTGATATCTCAGAAAAGGTACCTCTTCGCAGCCCTATGTTATTTCTCCATAACGAATCCCAAAACCACCGAAAGCGACCTCTTGGCAACGTTTGAGTTATGGACAAGACAGTCAAAACGATAAGACTGCTTAATATCACATACAAAACGTAAACAACATCAAAATCGTCTGCATTGCCATGGTTCAACCGAGAGCGGTTCGCAGAGCTGCCAACTGTCCTCCCTATGGCGCAAAACTCCTGTAATTTATTGTTTGGACAGTACATAAACTTATCAAAAATAGAGTGTATAACTTAATATTAATATCAATAGTTAATAATACAATAATCAAAGCTTAACATGTAGTTTTAGATGTGTCAGTACAACTACCGGGACTAAAAGTATTTGGATTTTAAACCTGTAAAGAAAATGTAGTTGGGATCGAGAAAGGTATTTTTTTCTATTAACAGAAAACGTTCTAGATTAGATTAGCAAAAACTTGTAGTAGTTCACCTCTTCGCCACTAGAATTTGTTAGAGTGCAGTTTTTAAAGTGTTGTATGTTATAGCTAAATGATTTGTTTGAAAAAGGGAGCTGTTAGCGGCAATGTTATTTCATTTCAGATTTCTCTATAAACGCGAAGAGGTACCTTTTCTCAAGCTAGACATCGACTACTTTAATCAATATTTTAATGTTTAATGCGATTACAACAGGTTTGTAGGTAATCAATTTGAACCGGTAAAGGACGAAATAGAGCATATTCAAATGCAAACAACCGAAAATCAATATTTTTGACCTCAATCAATAAAAATGCCAGTGGGCCTACTCAAATTTTTACATTGCTGCGAAGAGGTCTCTTTTTCCTTTCCGCCTCACGTATATTTATGCTTATACTGTTGAGTTAACAGTCACACTCTCAAGACGGTAAATATACATAAAAGTTGGAAAGTGCTGATCCATTTCGATTCAACACTCCAATCGAAATCGATCACCACTAACCATTTTTAAGTATATTTACCGTCTTGTGAGTTAACAGTATAAGCATAAATATATGTTTTAAATGTTATTAGACATCTCTTTTATTTACTTTCCGTATTTTAAATTACCTTGCTAAAACTGTCTTGGTTTAGACATTCCATCCCCATGTTAAATTTGTAGCAAGATTTTTAACCAAAATCGTCGTAGTTGATGTGAGCCACCGACAGATTGTGCTGATCTAAATGATCTGTTGAATACACAATCTTTTTTACCCATTAAAACTAATGGAATGACTTATTGAGCTATAGCAACTGTGGATACAATACTCCCTGGTATGGATTAACGTCCGCACTAGTGAGTACAACGACTATCCGCAGTACTATCCTGACAATTAGACCAAATCGTTAATACCAAAGCAAAAATTTGGTTCGGATGCCACCATAAACTGTAGGTCCCTTAAGCCCCGTTCACATGGGGCTACACGCCGGCTTTTTTACACGCAGCTAGTAAAATAGCTCAGTGTGAACGAAGTACTCGCTCAAAAGCTGCTTGTAAAAAAGCTCTGGAAAAAGTTGACGCTGCCGCTACTTTACACGCCAACTCGCCAGCTTTTGAGCGAGTAGGCGTATAAAGTAGCCCAGTGTGAACACAGTTGCTTGTGCTTGTGCGCATGTTATTAAAAGATGTCGGAGGATTTGGTTCAAGCTAGCTACTGAGCGAGTGGAAAAAGCATCGTGTGAACGACTACAAGCGCACTCGCCGACTCGCCGGCGTCTTTCTACTCGTCGGCGAGTTGGCGAGTGGACAATCTCCGTGTGAACGAATACAAGCACATTCGCCAACTTGCCGGCTTCTTACATGCTGGCGAGTAGCTTGTAAACTCACACCGTGTGAACGAGACTTTAGTTGCCATTAGCTGTATGGACTATTAATTAACAGCTGTGTCTTAAGAAATATGTCGGCCTTAGTCACTAACAAGACTACAAGATCGCGCCACTCATCCTACACTCATCTCCATTCATATTTCATATAGATAGGATGTCTACTTTAGTATCTAATAGTCAATGTTATTATTAAAACACACATGGTTGTATTAGTAAGTTTTTAATTATTACTTACTCTTTTTCCTAAATTGAGTTCTAGAAAGATCTTCAAAAGATTCTGAGTCCTGAAAGCCACAATTTTGGATTAGCTTTAAATAGAATACAATCTATATATTAATAGTCAAGCATTTTTAAAACCTTTTTTCTCAGCTCGTGTGCATCACAGGGAAAATCTACACATACGGTTAGAAAGATATTTTCTTGTAGATGAACAGAATCCCTTTATAAATTAAAATAGGCTCAAAAATAAGCACAAAAAATGAATTTGAAATATAAAAAAATTACACGGGCCTTATGGGTTGCCATGAGAATGACATAATAACAACAAAATATAAACAAAAAATGAAAACAAATGGAAGAAATTCCAATCACATGTTTTATTTACACCGGGTGGTGAAAATAGAGAATCCTGTACATTACATATTTTGTTTAAATTTTCAACCACTGGACAACCCCTAATACTCATTAAACCATAAATAACACTTAAATAGTGCTACAAACAAATAGGTAACTGACTCTATTTTTGTCCTACACAGTTTTTATCAAGACTTGACACAGATATCCTAATTCTAATTCCTGATTCTAATTCACTTAGTGATCAGACAAATTAGAGAATAAGAATAAGAATATCTTTAATGTTGTTTCATACAACTGTACAATAGATAACGTCAAAACGAATACTATTTTTCTATGGATAGTATTTGTTTTGACGTTGTCTATTATACAGTTGTAATTAACGACAATAAACACATTCTTATACTTAATTCTTAAATGTGTCTGATCACTAAGTGAATTAGAATCTTTAGGTTTACTGAATCAAGTCTTGATAAAAACTATATACAGTAGGACAAAAAAGATTTATTGCTATGAGCCAGAAGTGTATATTGGCCACTCACTAAAGTAGGTTTTACGCGAACCTTGTTGCATCTTTTACAAAGGTAGGAGCTTTTATGATGATTGCATTTACAATCAACTGCCATAGTATACTTGGTTTGCGAGGTCTGGCACCATGCTAGACAATATAGATACAGTAATAGTATCACTTAACAGGTTAAACTTAGTAAACGAGGTATTAGTTGTAGTAAATACAAAGCACTAAATACGTTAACCAACTTTCAATGGTGTTGCTGCTTTAGCCTATTCAAAGAAGATTTATGACTGTCCAGTTGGTAACCCAGAGTTTGTGGGTAAAAAATGGAACAGATGAAACGGTTGATATCACCCCACTTTTCAGGATTCTCTACGGATATAATTCGTTGGTTTAGGGGGATGTCTCAAATCAATAATATAATTGACCCGTTTTTGCAGTCGGGGAAAGTTACGAGCTTAAATTACTTAACACAGGTTATCAGTAAGGCAACAGTTTTCTTCAATTCTAAAAACTTTGCTGCAACATGTTAATTTGAATTGAAGCAGAGCGTTTAGCCTTTGACTTTTGTTTAGCATTCATTAGTTAGAAGTTATCAGTTAAAACTGAGAGCAGAAATAATGTAGGTGAACCTTTACGACACAAATAGAGAAATTTAAAATTAGTAAATTAGTTTCTAACAAGTTTTCAAACAACTCTAAGATAAGAAACTTCTTTTAACACTTAAAGAGTAGTAGTTAAGAGTGCACTTAAATGTGTAGTTTTAAGTGTTATAAGACGTTTCTTTTATTTACTTTCCGTAAACAACACGCTGACAGTTGATGTTATTTTACAGTGAAATGGCAAAACACAGGGCTGGAAACCTTACAAACTAAAATTTTAATATTTTTTGAATCGGGATACTATCTCTGTTCAGTGCTGCAACCAACCAGAGAATTACTAAACAATGTTTAAAAAAGTTGTGTTGGATGGCCACCTAAGCTGGCCGGACAAGCTGACGGGGAAATTAGAGACTTGAGATGCACGGTGCGGCGTAAACATGACAAGCTGACATTAGTAGCCGTGTAAAGCATGGCCATTCGAGCCAATTTTCCTAAAATGGCTTTGAGACCGCAAAGGGTTAAGCCCAAGAATAATATAAATTTACTATTTAGAAAAAAATTAACACCAAACAACGAATTCAGACATAATAACTGACCTTCATAATGTCCTTATCAGAGTAGGGTATACTTCTTCTAATTGAGGCATCTCGTGAATCATCTTTGAGCAACTGGATCCCAGAGTGGTCGACGTTGAAGACACATTGTTGTACAATATCATCCCTGCCGATGTTCTGTAGTGCGCTCTCCAGTGTGCTGGCTGCAACCCAAACGCGAACATGATAATTCACCTTCTTTAAATTAGTACTTAGTTACTTACTGCTCTGGCTCTTGGTACCAGAGGTGGAACTTTGTCTCGCCAACACCCTGCTTTCAGACTTCCTGATGTTAGTATCATTCCTTGGTTTAAATATTCAAATTAGTATTGCAAGTTAAAAATTGGTAGGAACTATGTTTTAATAAATATTTGTTAACACCAAATCATAACAAAAGTATAGTTACAATAGTTATAGAATACCTAGCTTTTGCAAGTTCTTGAGAGGGTTGTATTCAAGCATCCTATGTGGATATTTAGCCGCTGGTGCACTATATTCAGGCAACTTGTTTTTTTTACTATATATCTATTTGTCCCTATAACCACTGACTATAACTAACCATCTATATTAACACCTAAAATTACATGGTTGGTTAGGATAACTGGTGTCACAACATATGCATACCGGTGTGACACAATAAAGAATTCATTTTGCACTCATGCGGCTACGTGTCGTGTAACTGAGTCAGCGGTTATAGGGAAGGAGACGGGTCGCCGGAATTTTATCCCCCTGGAATTTTACCCCCTGGTGTAATAGGAGGGTCAAATATTGTAATGAGGAAGTGTTTGGCAATGTTGTGTGAGTAGGCTGGTAGTGTTGTTAAACAATAACTTGTTGTGCTGACCTACTGAAGGCTGTTGCTTTAAGTAGGCCAGTGCACTTGATCAGGGGGTCAGTTTTGGTGGGTAGTGTTTGTGTGGTGCACCGGAGGACAGGGTCCTGCTGGGGGAGCTAGAGCCCAAGGCCCTAGGCCTTGGGTCCAGGTAAGACAATGTAAAGGGTTTTCAAAATTGGGGTTTAAGTTCCTAACTCATTTATACAGTTCCAGTCTACTCTACCTTTTATGATTGTTAGTTTAGCTTTGTGTTCTTCGTGTTGTTTTGAGTAATTAATAAAGTTGGGTTTTGTAAGCGAGTGCTGAGTTTCATTCCAGAGCTACGTCACCCAATGTAACAGTAGGTATTCCAAGGGAATACGTACCGTTACAGGTACAGTACAATACAATACAAGCCAAGGGTCTTGGGCTCCAGCTCCCCCAGCAGGACCCTGTCCTCCGGTGCACCACACAAACACTACCCACCAAAACTGACCCCCTGATCAAGTGCACTGGCCTACTTAAAGCAACAGCCTTCAGTAGGTCAGCACAACAAGTTATTGTTTAACAACACTACCAGCCTACTCACACAACATTGCCAAACACTTCCTCATTACAATATTTGACCCTCCTATTACACTGGGCAAAGCTGACGTCACTATGACGTAGTAAGCTGAGTGGCCAAAAGTTTGTTCGTGGCCGGAATTTTACCCCCGCGGATTTGGAAGTCTAATGAAAATAGCCAGAGCGTGATTAATTAGATTAGCGATAAAAACCGGAATTTTACCCCCTGTCCATATAACTAGCGTTTAGACAACTGAAGATGTACGGGCCGGATTTTTACCCCCGGAATTTTTACCCCCCGGAATTTTACCCCCGGATTTTTACCCCCCGGAATTTTACCCCCTGGCTAATTTTAGAAATTGAATGATTGATTTTCTTATTTCTGTTTTTAATTAATTGTAAACATTTCATTATATAGTCGCCTATCTTTATTTATTTATTTTGTAATCTCAACTAAGTAAACAGAATTCGCTGTTTTATTTTGATGTTCAGGATTTGCGTTTGGGGCCTACTGTTGGTTAATAAGTATGTAAAATAAACTGAGTATCTCATTTAAATGATAATTGGGTGAACATTTATTCGTAAAGAAACAATAAGGCATATTTTGTTATTGTTACAATACAAATGAAAAACATTGTTTTACCACGGTTGTATAATAAATCGTTAAAGAAATCTTCGAATTAATTACCATTCTGATGTTTGTTTATACGTCATATTATTGACAGTTGGCTTCAAAGATCGAATCCTGATACTCGAATCTCAAAATTAAAATAAAAAACCTGTTCGATTAATTGATGTTACAAATAAATTAAGATAGGCTACTTAATAATAAACTGTTTACTATTATATTAAAAGAGAATGAAGATTATTAATCATTCTCACTAATTTATATGTCTGGCCAGGGGGTAAAATTCCGGGGGTAAAAATCTGGGAGTAAAAATCCGGGGGGTAAAATTCCGGGGGTAAAAATCCGGGGGTAAAAATCCGGGCCGTACACTTTAGGTTTTTATAATTTGATGTCTTCTGATTAAATTCACAACTGTGAAAATATATGTTTAAATCCGCGTTTAATCCATCGAGCTGATGTCGCGAAACTCAAAAGTTCGGGGCCGGAATTTTACCCTCTGGTTTGTGACGTCACGTTTGCCCAGGGGGTAAAATTCCAGGGGGATAAAAATCCGCTACCCCAAGGAGACAATGAATATTGAAATGTGTTAAAGACTCTCTCAGATTGGCTATTGAAACATTGTATGTTAAAACTGGGAAATACACAACGAATAGTTTATCAACAACCTTGAGCTTTGTTGCCGGCCTGTGTGAGCCAGAATCTCAGCATAGCTAGTCCCTGTTGCGCAGAACTCTGCGGATGTTCTGACTTGAGTCTGTTGATGTCTGCAGATGACACAGACAGCTCGTGGGCCAGACTCACCCAGTCCTCCCCCAGCAGGTTACTGATGTCAGACAACCTCAGGTCTACCCTCTGGTACGACTCCAACCCTCCTGCACATCAACACTTCCAGTCAGACATCTTTCTGATCCCAATTTAATAGTTATCCAACATTCGTAGCTATCAAAGAAAACACTTTCTTAATTAATCTGTTTTTAACTTCTTAATGAACAGGAAAGATTTAAGATTAATACAAACTGGAGTAATGTTGGCCTATAAGATTATATAAATGACTAAATGGGTAAAACAACAACAGAATAGCCTGAATGGTAATGAATCACTGTTACATGTAATTGTTTCACCCTTACTTGCAAAGTGTTATCTTCTTATTATTGCCTTTACTACTATTAATCTTATATATGTGTGGGGATTTTTTATGCCAAGATCCTGAACCAACTACATGACATTTGTTCATGATTCCTTTCTCTATAATGAAATAAAGATGATTTTGAGAGGAAGGTAATGTCAAAATGTAATTTTGGATTTCTGTCTTTTAGAAATTTAGTTTTTTTTCTGAAGTCCAGCAGCCAACATTCTACATACATTCTAAGTTCGTTTCAGTGCAATAAAATTTAGTTTAATGAAAAACTGGTTTTATAACTGTTAACCGTTACTGAAATGTTAGATTAGTAGGGGTGTGCGATGCATAGAAATTCTGATTCGATTCGATTTGATGCATCGAATTGTGATTTGATTCGGTGGTAATCAAAAAACTATTCGATTCATGTGGGAATCAGTATATATACATGAAAAACGCCTGCAGAAAATCAATGAAACACCCGCAATACAGGAGCGCATTGCTGTTGCGTTTTCTTTTTTGAAGGCATGCTTATTTAATTAATTCTTTGCATCTAAAGATTGCTTTAATTGTTTTAATTTTTTGTTTTAACATTGCAAATGATGAGAAGTTTTTTGTTAAGTGTAAGCAGTGTGGGACATGTTTTAGGCCGGCCGCACACTGGTCAGACAAAATGTTTTTTGAGAAAACGTTTTGTCGGAAGACGTCTTGTCGGAAAACAAAAATGTCGCATGTGTGCGGTGGTCTCAGACAAAAGACAAAAACCGGAGGGAAAATTAATTCAGTCACCCACAGACCATTGTGAAAAGCCAGAGATTGTGTGGTGTTAATAAAATGGATGAGGAAGTGGACGTAGCAATTATGTTGTGGAACTTTATACAAACTTGCAGAACTAAACGAAAGAAGGGAGCATTGGGTTCATCCCATTAATCAAAAACGGTTTGGGGGGTTCATTGCGGAGTTACGAGCAGATGCTGCCAAATTGTATAATTATTGTAGAATGAACATTGATACGTTTGATTACCTGCTAAATTGTTTGTCCATTTGAAATATTACCCACTTCAGAACTATTGTCTTCAGACGTCATTGTTACTCCACGAGGAACTAATAGGGCAAGTCCTATGCAACTGTGCGAGTGCGTGTGCGTGTAAGCTACTGTATCTACCATCCGCGCATGCGCAGAACTGTTTGTCTGATCGCAAAAACACCCAAAAACGTCTTCAGACAAAACAACGCGTCTGATGCCTCTGTCTCATCAGTGTGTGACGCCTCCATTTAACTGCATGGTAGGCCACTCGCTTCCGACGTCTTTTGACAAAACGTTTTGTCGAAAGACGTTTTGTCTGATCAGTGTGCGGCCGGCCTTACTACTGTAAACATAGCCAAAACAAGTCACTCCAAAATCATTCTAAAAATAACACAAGTCTGAAAAATTGTTAGGCCTTCTTGATTCTTAACTAGTAAGACTGTTGTTTTATATTGATAAATTTTGTATTTTCGTAGGATCTGAAGCTATGTATACCTTGTGGTTTGTAGGTCTGATTCTAATCCCTCATTTTGATTTTATAAATGTAAACCAATCGAAAGATTCAGTATAAATCTTACAAATGTTTTTATTTTTTTTTGCACCAAAACATATCTTTAAATGAATATTATAAAATAGGTAAAATGCCTAACAATATGATTCTGCAAGTAAAAATCATGAAGTAGGCAAGTAAAGCAGCTCACTGACATTTTGAGCAATACAGCTTCTTCTCAAATTTGATTGAAAATAAATATTTTTCACCATACATATATGTTATATGTATGGATAGGCCTAATACCACGTCAACAAAAATTTGCATTTCACAAAAATGTGGTAAATTTAATTATTGTTATTTCACTCCATTGACAAGTATGGATAGACAAATGCCGTATTGCTTTGAATCGAGTTGCATCGATTCAAAACAAAAATCTTTTGAATCGAATTGTTGCTTCGAATCAAAAAATTTTGGCTGCTTCGCACACCCCTATACCTATAGCTAAATATTTAGCTAACTAAATATTTTATTGATTGTTATATTTTTAATTTTTTTACAAATTCACAGAACTGAAGGCAGATATTAAAATGTAATAGAAGAATACGAGATATACAAAGCTGGCGACAAAAATCCCAAACACAATTTGAACGAATAAGCCTTTTTTTAAAGTAATTTATTATAAGAAACAGCAGTCGGCATTGAAAGAACAACAACACGGAAAGGACCTGATAAGAACTGGAACAAGGAGAGGGGGGTGACAGATGGACAAGACGGCAGTCTTGGTTTGTAACTTAATGTATGCATACAGTCCCCCGCCAGTCAATTTGTGGCCACACGTTCTTTTTGTAAAAATGTGTTTAAGTGTTACTGTTCTTTGTTTCGTATTTATTGACTTTTTGACGGCGTCTTCAGAGTAATTCTACGTCCCTTATTCGCCTGAAGATGACCCCTTTGATGTGTTGAAACCGGTCGCCTTTCATCGGTGACATGATCACATTGACGGATTATAAGGTATTTTAACCTCTAGTATTAATTACCACACAGATGAAATCGATTGGTGATTGGCGGAATATGAACCCGGGATCTGTGGCTTCGAAGCCCCGTGCTCTACCACTAGACCAGCTCGCTCCTCAGTCCTACTACTACTAATTACTAACTCAAAATTTACGTTACAATACATATGTTTGGTTTTGATGTCATAAATAGCATCAAAATCTTAATGAAAATTCTCACTTGAATCCTGAATAAAGCTGTATTTGTGCAGTTCGTGTTCAGAGAGTAGGGCCTCTGGGATGATTTCATCTGGAAGGACAATGTTGAGCACACAGATGGGTTGTTGAGGTGGTTCTCCTTTCGGTAGCTGAAAAAATAAAATTTATGATTTTGCAAGGTGGAGTCAAAACATACTCAGAATCAAATTATAGGCTAATTATTTATTTATTAAATATAAAAAAAATTACATTATTTTCCCCTTCAAAATATTTTTTTTTAAACAAGTATCTTGTTCTAATCAATTTTGCTGTTTAAAAACTTGTATGGTTTGTTTTGTAAAAGTTTATTCATTGCTTTGACACGTTTCACCAGATAAGCTTTACCACATGTGGTTTAAAAAAAAAAATACAAAAAATCCATATTTTCAATTTGAGGAAAGAGGAACTCTGTTACATAATGAGCGGACATTTATGTGTGATTTTTATTTACCTACAATTTACACCCTGGCAACTAGTTTCCAGGTCTTATAGAATCAAATTTTGTACAATATTTTCAACAATAAATGTAATATATCTAGACTAATTTAAATATGTATCAAATGTATTTTAAAATCACACCGAGAATAACATGTACAGTTGATAATCAGGTTATTTAAGAGTTTTCCTCATTGAGTGTGAGTATTAGTGTAAAGGTAATTGTTTTTGCCTCCATCAGCAGACCGTACAACATGATCATAATGTTCTGACCTCTATTGTAAATACTTACTCTAGCCTCTCTCATGAAGAGAGTTCTCCCTACAGAGTCAGCGTGCGGGTCTTTCACTCGGGCAGTGAAGGGCAGTCGGTTTTCTCTAAAAGCTCGGAACCCTAGTTGCAGCTGTTCGCCAGATTTTGTAACAGGAACTAAATTTCCAGCAAACTCTACATACTGTGTTTTTCCTTCTAGCACCTGTAAGGATATTAAGAATCGTGACAGTATAATATACAGACTGGCACAAAATCAGGAACTATAAACAATCTAATAAAATTGAAGAATAAGTATAGTAATAGTTTATTCCAATAGTAACTGAATGCTAAACCTCAGAACAGTTGACATGGTTATTATGAGTATGTTTGTGTGTGTCATCAGGCCTTGCAAAACAATGGACCTTATAAAAATGCCAGGGAAAGTTGAGTGAAGGCCACACAAATCTAACAATGATACTATACTGTACCTAAAAGCATGTAATAAAAAAAGGATGTAAAATACTAATAATTAAAATTAAATTATTGATTATTTTTTAGCATGTAGTTTTGTGTTGATAATTGATCTGAGAAACAGTCACTGTACTGAAAAAGTTTCTAATAATTAATAAATAAATTAGTCTGGGGATTACTAGTTTCCGGTCATGATTTTCAAATCCAACATCAAATTACTCTATGAAATCCTACAAAAGTTTTCTTCAATTAATAAACACACGCTGACACACAAAGTTCACGATTAACATAAATCCCCTGCCACAGAAAACCTACAGACTAGGTAAATTTCAATTTGTTTGGTTGGATTTTAGTTCAAATATATTTCAATGAACAAGACATATCTATCCGTAGTTTAAAAAACATTAGATTTAACAAGTACCTAGATTTGATGCTACGGGGAAGGTAAAATGTGTTTTTTTACTAAATGTTAATAGTATAGGATGAAATAAATAAATTCGCCAAATTTGATTAACATACATCCATAAACAAGCAAACTACAACAGTTTTATTTTTCTCCATAAGAGGACTGGGACGGTGGCGTCGTCCTGTAATCCAGCAACTAGGAGGTCACGAATTGTGGATATTTATAGGCATGCACTGTGAATGTGATGCTCCCTGGTGTGGGTTAACGTCTGCACTAACTGCAGTATGTCTGCGTCGTGGTGATTTAAACTTCGGTCCGCTTCCTTCATTGCTGCATTAAATTTAGGATTTTTTGGCTTGTAAATTCCATAGAGAGATTTGTTTTCATTGAATAAACAAAGATCAACCTCCTTCACAATACCAATTTCATTTGTACCAAAGAAATTGACTGTGTATTTCTTGAGGGTGTTAGCTGAGCTTATGTCAGTAATAATAGCTGGCCAAAATGGATAACCTTTTATTTTGGCGAATACTTTTTCACCAGTATTAAATTTTCTCTTTAATGGGTTCATTATGTCTAACCACAATAAGTAATATTCACTAAAATAAAAATAAAATAATCATCTTTTGTAAAAAAATAAAATTAATAATAAGTCCTTTAAGTAAATAGACAGTCTTTATGCTATATATTCCACCAGGGGGAAAATTAAAGGATAGTAAATAAAATTAAAAATAGGTTTATAAGTAAATAAAATCAAAAAGTTAAAAGTCTCTTGAAGTAATCAGTATCTGAAGTATAGATATATTCAGGTTTCAGATATTCATGTTTGGAGTTATCTCTATCAGTTGCCAGTACAAAGGTCAGATCACTCACTCTGTTTTCCTTACCCAGAGCTTATCTATGGTCCCATCTTATCTATGAACATTGAAATAATCCTGCAGTTTATCAGAAAAACTATAATTTATATAAACTGGTTACTTGAATGAGAAAACCGATTATACACTTTCACAGATAAAAACTTACTGAATATTTAGGTATCAATTTCTTCATGTAAAAGTTTAATTTACTACTTAAAAACTTAAAAAAATTGAAGAGCACAAATGACACAGCTTTTGCAGCTACAGGGTCTTCCCCCTTCCTCCCATCATAAAGAAATTGAATGCCAGAAACGGCACGAGCCCTGAGGGCTTAGGTCACACGTTGACCTGACCTGAAGTAATGTGACAAACAATCCCCCTATATCCCAATTAGAGGGGGTTTTTTAGTGAGTAGTCTGACAAGCTCAGGATTCTCACACTACAGGCTGGCTACTTGTGTGCGTAAAAGCATTTTTACCTCCTCTCCCTAAAAAAATTAAAAAAAACATCTTAAAGCCAAATTTCATCAAAACCACACCAAAATTACTCCAGTTATCACCTACACGGATTTATCCTATACTGTAATAAGAGTAATGTCTGTTTGTCTGTCTGTCTGTCCGTCTGTAATATACATCTCAAAATCCAGCAGAAGGATTTTGACTAAATTTGGAATTGGAGACTTACAGTCTTAAAAACGTGATTCACGACAGCCAGTACCTCAGGAAAATTAGTATTTCGCTACACAACTCATTTGAAAATTTTAAACATTAACATTGGCCTTATGGGTTGCTAAGTAACTATGGTTGAAAAAATAACAAGTATAAAGTAAACAAAAGACTTGTAACATCTTACTAATCTATAATATTAAAACAAAACTGTGTTTTTTTATTTCACGATTCTGAATCAACCACTCGACGGATTTTCATGATTTTTGTGTTGAAAGAAAGATAATTTTGAGAACTAGGGAATGTCGAAGCCATAATTTTAGTTTAGGGTCCCAGTTTTTTAAAAATTAAGTTTTAATTTTTAAAAAGTCTAGCAGCCGACGCTAAGATTCTAAACTAGCTTTTGGCATAAAATAACTTGCTTAACATAACAGCTGTAAACATTCAGCTTTTGTGTCACAAATTCAGCATTTGGATAAAAATGTAAAGACATACTTAGGGTTGACTATTTATACTATGTGTAATGCTAATCATTGATACGTTCAATTCTCCTGTAAGAGGATGACAGAGTAATTAAATATACATAGTAAAATACTAGGATGTTCAAATTATTTTTAAAGCAATCTTTGTAATCTTTGATTTGTTTTAGAGCAATATAATTTGTTTTAACTAACAGCTGGTTAAATATAAACTATGGAACTATGAGGTTATTTTATTTACTCTTATTTTTTCATTGATTATAGGAAATAAGTAAGATTAGTAGAGATAATTAGACCTCAGTTTAAACCACAGTTTTAACCAAAATTAATTAAACCACAGTACAAATCGAGGCTCTGTACAAGAGTCTTAATAAAAAAGGATAAATGCAAATTATTTTACTGCTCCACTTTTCAAGGAAAGATTAGAAAAATAACAATGTTTGCATGTCTTAATTCTTAATGGTAACTTTTTTTTTACAATTAATGTTTGTCTGCTTTAACTTTGTTTGGATTATTAGGCTCGGAAATGTTGATGTCATAAAAAGAAGATTAAGAAGAATCAGGAATCACGATTTTAAATTACCACCACAACCTCAGCCGGGTTTTATACAAAGATAAACAGATGGATGACATAGATTAAACACAACGTCAACATTGACCTAGGATACTGCAATTAGACAAACCATCCTTTTATAAAATCGTGTTCAGTTGTGGTTACGTTTAGGGGCGCCTAGCGCCCCCAAACGTGAAAATATCACTTTTATTTCAACTATGAATATATTGTAGTTAAAATTAACTTATATGGGAAATTACGATGTACGTTTATTCAATGAGGGTGGGTAATTATCAAGGATAGAACTGATAAACGGTATGGATAATAAACATTGACAATTACGTCATTAGCTTTACTAGCGAGTTTACTTTTTATATTCCTGCTACATGTAACCAGTTCTTTTTTTCAAATGAATGTTATTTGAACCAAACAGCTGTTTCAAAACAAACTGTTATTGTTTTTACTTTTCTTTGTTTACACTTATTTATTTAGCAATTAATGCAGTGAAATTGGTAAAGGATAGGTGTGACTATTAGTTTTGATGTTAGGACACCAAAGTTAAATTATGTGTACTGTGAATTTGATTGGATATTATCGTTTTATTTTAGGTCGTTTCTATTCAGACCTACTGGAAATTGTGTATAGTAGTTGTATTTTGGTGGTAATAATTATGGTAGAGGCAGGTATGCTATGGAAAGTGGTATCGTTGACTAGGTCTATAAACTTCTCAATTGACTATTCTATTACTCTTTCTACCGTAGGCTACTTATAATCAGTGTCCGTCTGTGCGAATCAGCTGCAAATCTCACTTCAACGCTTTTCACATCGTAAAAATTTCAAAATTGCTGTTTTATTGTAAAATTATCGGATTTAAAATGCATATCGTATAGGCCTATAATGGAATAAAAACATATTTGGTCATACAACATTGTTTACAAGATGATTTTTCACATTAAAACTGCAAGAAACTTTGCCTTTATTTGTGTAAACTAGCTGATCTGAATTCTACACGGTTTTAACTGACTACTGAATTCCCTTACGTAGGACGGGCTAACGCCTCGTAATATTATAAATGTGAAAGTTTGTATGTTTGTTTGAAGTTCAATCACGCAATAACTACTGGACGGGTTGGGCTGAAATTTGGTATGATGATAGCTGTCATTCCCGATTAACATATAGGCATATTCTTATCTCAAAAATCCTTTTGGGCTCCACCCAGTGGCTCTGTAGTTCCCCGTGTTAACCTTATGAGTATTCATATTTAAAGAGAATTTTAAGAAATTAGTCAGCTGTTTCAACTAAAAAAGTTGGTTCTATGATAAGCAAAAGCATTAAAAAGTGATAAGATTTGCCCACAGGGTGCAGCACTATATTTTTTGCATTTATGAAAACAGCTAATTTGAACTAAGCAGCAACAAAAAACTGCGATACACAATGAGAACTAACTGTCAAAGTAGAATTGTTTACACTTATGTTTATGTTTGAATTTCATGAATAATTTGTGATATTTTGCGAATCTTTGATAATTTATTTTGTTCAATTGTTTAAGTGAAGTGGTAGAAAATTATGGCTATGGTAGATGTGTAATACTATAGAATATTGTAAATTTAAAGAAGCAAATTTTATCAAACTGTGTCATTCCTCATTGCAAACGCAAAGCTTGAGTATAACTGCAATAAGCATTTTATACTTTAATGCCAACCCCGTACGAAGGACGGGTACTCTGCTAGTGTGTTTATAAAAAGCCATCCACAGTATACTAGCAAATTATAAAATACTTTACAAAGTGATAAATATAATTTGTATTGTATTGTAACTTTTGGGCAAAGATTACACTGAATATTACTCGATATTGGGGGAAATAGAGCAAGTCAGTGATGATGAGTGACGAGTGTTTCGTGTTGGTGCCATTTGAGTGCACTGGCGTCAAATCAATGATTCACTCTTATTTAAGGGTAAATTTTAGAATTTGTATGCACTTTTTTTATAGTTTACGTTTACATAATTTGGACAGCTGTATTCATAATAAATTGAAATTCCGCTGTAACTTAAATAATAAAAGCCGAAATTAGTTGTAAAAAATGTGAGTTTCCTTTATATTGCGTTTACAATCAAAATAAACTATACCGAGACATGGATCGGTCCCCCGGTAATTTATATATATAAATTTGAACGATGGTGTTAGCCTTTAGGGACATAAAAATAAAAAGGAAATCGGACCCGGGTCTACGTCTTTCCGTTCCACCTTCGGTAATAGCTACATCCCTATAGCGAATTTTGTTAATAACATTTGAATAAAACGTTAATATGGCCATATTTTATAGCGGGAAAACCCGACAGTTCCGTTGTGTCCGCCGGGCAGCATGTGTGGGTTTGTCCTGCAATTTAATGAGGCCCGCTTACCGTTTTATTACAATTTTTTTATGGTAAACATGAACTTTATGTAGGAAGTGAGGCTTCCACGGTCACAATTACTAACACAAAGTCCTTGGTCTTCTGGGTACGACCGCGTCGGAAAACTAGGAGAAACACTAGTCGCTGACGTTTCGGCTTCGTTGCAGATAGCCATCTTCAGAGCTGGTGACAGGCACTAACTGGTGCAAGCTTGCGAGGACGAGAAGAATGCTGAAATCCACGTTTTTCTACTTCGACGGATGTTTCTACGAGCAGCTAGATGGTGCAGCTATGGGATCGCCACTCTCTCCTGTGATCGCAAATTTGTTCATGGAAAATTTTGAGGAGAAAGCCATAAGTTGAACAAAATTAAAACCCACAGTCTTTCTGAGATACGTTGACGACACTTTTGCAATATGGCCGCATGGATCAGATTCATTAGACTCTTTCGTACAGCACCTCAATTCTATCAACCCCAAAATACAATTCACTATGGAAACTGAAGAAAATGGATGTCTACCCTTCTTAGATGTACTGGTTATTAAGAAACCTGATGGAAGCCTAGGCCATACGGTGTACAGGAAAAAGACTAACACAGACGGCTACCTACACTCAGAATCCCATCACCATCCTATGCAGAAATCAGCAGTTCTGAACACCTTAGCCAACCGGGCTCTGAAGATATGTGATAGTGACAACATTGAAACCGAGAAACTTCATTTGATTAAAACCCTGCAGCAGAATGGCTACAAAAAATCAGCCATACTTAAAGCTATAGAGCATCAATCCCGACCGAGGGCAACAAAAACTTCTTCTACTGAAAAAGTTAAGTACGCAGTATTGCCGTATGCCAAAGGAACAACGGAAAAGATAAGCAGATTGTTAAAGAAATACAAAATCAATACAGTTTTCAAACCACCAGCCAAAATTCGACAACTCATCCGTCCAGTGAAGGATCGCCTACCATTGCACGTTTCAGGAGTGTATCACGTAGTATGCAGTTGCGGTAAATGCTATGTAGGAGAAACGGGTCGTAAGATATGCACACGTATCAAGGAGCATATAAGATCAACAAAGAATCAAGATAACGACATATCCGCCATAGCAGCTCACTCTAATGAAGAACGCCACATGATTCAATTTGATAAAGTCAAAGTTTTGGCTCAATGTACAAACTACTACAAAAGGAAACTTCTGGAAGCTCTAGAAATTAGGAAACATGTAGACAATTTTAATAAAGACTCTGGCTTCGAAATTAGCAACACTTGGATACCAGTCTTAACCCTTCCCAAGCGTTGGACGTATATATACGTTCGGCTATATTGCCCGTTACGAGCGTTTAACGAATATATACGTTAAGTGATTTCACGCTTATGAGCGTTTAACGAACATATACGTCAAAACATGCAAACATAATATAGCGGTCAGAAAGTTGTTTCTATTTTATTTCTTATACCGTATATTGTATTTTGTTAATTTTTACGGTAAATTTCATTCCGTCAGGTGGCAACACTGTTTTAGCATCAGCTGTGAGTTATTTCGTGCGAGGTGGCTGATGCAATACTTTGTCGTTGTTACTAAAGCTGTCTGTTTACTGCAGTGGGAGGTTATGTGAACGAAGTATGTTTGTGTAACTGTTTGTGTGCGTGATTTATGAAGTATGGCTTTCAAACCAAGTGATACATTTAATTTTTGGTAAATTTCATTCCGTCAGGTGGCAACACTGTTTTAGCATCAGCTGTGAGTTATTTCGTGCGAGGTGGCTGATGCAATACTTTGTCGTTGTTACTAAAGCTGTCTGTTTACTGCAGTGGGAGGTTATGTGAACGAAGTATGTTTGTGTAACTGTTTGTGTGCGTGATTTATGAAGTATGGCTTTCAAACCAAGTGATACACATTTTGAAGACGATATTATCGAGCTACTAAATAAAAGTATATCGGAGAGGGACAATAATATCGACCTTTCGGATGGTTCTATTCCTACACATGACGATTGCCTATCGGTACGTAGCTTAGAAGACTCAGACAATCAAGATGATGTTATTAATTATGAATTATCGCGTGAGAACATTAGTGGAATCGATGTTTTGGAGGGAAGATCGTGCATAGAAGATGTAAATATCGAATTAGATGTAACTTCTGGTCGTGCTAGTACACCCTTGGTAGCCGACGAAGATGAGGTTTATGTTCGACCAGGACCTTCTAACCTGACTAATATCGAACTAGATGAAATTGATGATGTTTATATGCCAGAACCTCTTAACCGGGCTAAAGTGCAGGGGAGAAAACAACTAAAGCCGCCTAAGGTTCAGAAGAGAAAACAACAAAATCAGCCTAAAGGGAGGGAGATGAAGAAAAAGAAAAAAACTGGGAAGGAGCAGCGTGAAGAGTGGGACGGTGAATGGATTCACGTAACTGAAAATGATCCAGGGCCCGTAAGTAACGTAACTGTGCAAAATATTGAACAAGGAGTTAATTTACCCTCACATTTCGATGTGAAAACTAAACCTATAGAGTATTTTCACTTGTTTTTTAATGAGGACCTCATTCAAAAAATATGTGATGAGACAAATTTATTTGCCAACGAAAGGAAAATAAACAGTGAAAGTCCTAAAAGTAGACTTCAGAAATGGGAGGATGTTACATTAGAAGAAATGCATGCATTTTTTGGTGTAATACTCAATATGGGCCTACATCCTCTACCTGACCTAACTGACTATTTTTCAACTAAATGGGTGAATCATTTTGCATTCTTTTCAGATGTATTCCAGAGGGATAGGTTTTTGCTAATTTTTTGGAACATGCATTTTAGCCACGAAGAAGGAAATGATCGAGACCTAAAGATTAGATATTTGGTTAACCATATGACACAGATGTGTCAAACATTTTACAATCCAAGCCCCAATGTAGCAGTTGATGAAAGTACTATATCTTTCAAGGGAAAGATAGTATTTAGAGTCTACAACCCCGACAAACCCACAAAATTCGGGTTAAAGATTTTTGTTTTATCTGATTCTGCAAACGGTTACATCTACAACTTCAGTCCGTATTATGGAAAAACCGAAGACCTCCCTGAATCTGATCTGCTAAAAACAACCCAAACTGTCGTCAAGTTATGTGAATCCCTTATCAAAGACCCAACTACTCCCCCAATTGGACATCACGTGTTTGTGGACCGGTATTATAATAGCCCACAGTTAGCAGAAGAACTTGAAAAAAGACGCATGCTTCTAACTGGCACCGTAATGACATCCAGGAAACAGATGCCAATCTTGAGCACACAGTTGAATGCAGGCGATATTGAGGGACGCAGGAAGGGGAATATGGGGGTGGTTTTTTGGAAGGATAAACGGGTTATTACTTTGCTTACTACAAAGCACAGCGTAAGTAAAGAGTATATGGTTGACGTACCTAGTAAGATTCCTAATGTGCCTCCAACTCCAAAGCCTGAAGCTGTGGCAGAGTACACTAAAAGAATGGGAGGAGTCGATCGAGCGGATCACTTCATCTCCAACTACCAATTTATGCGACGAACAAAGAAATGGTATCGGAAGCTCTTTTTCTGGCTCTTGGAAGTGGCTGTCGTGAATTCTTACCTGCTTTACAAATTTGTTCAGGAACAACACAACAACAGCCCAATGACTCACAAGATGTTCCGGGAACGACTAATCGAGGATTTGGTCCGAAGTAAAATAGAACAGAAGAAGAGAGATCGAAGAAAGCCAGGTCGCCCACCACAAGGAAGAATCCAAAGATTGGATGGAAAGCCACATTTTATGAGCAGGAAAGCACCTCTTCGCTGTGTTGTATGCAACAAAAGAAAACTTCGAAAAGAAACAATCTACTTTTGTAAAACCTGTGACGACCAACCACACCTGCATCCTGATAAATGCTTTGAGGACTACCATACTAAAATGGACTTTTGAAACCAACCTGTAAATATGTAAACTAATCTAATGCTTTTTACTTTTGTACCAATAATTATATTTTGATGATTTTGTATATATATATTTTTTTTTTATTTCACCCATGTTTTTGAGCTATATTTATGACATTATTACTAATAATAGCATATAATTGTAATTTATTACAAATAAGTAGGTTTTCTGATTAAAATTTTACATGCGAAGGACTAATATATACGTAACAGCGCTCATAGCGTGTGACTCATAGCAAGCGTTTGACGTATATAATCGTCATGCTAATTATCATCATAAAAGTCATAAAAAAATTATTTCTTTTATTAAAGTCAAAATATTGGCCTTCTGTTATTAATTAAAAGTAAAAAAACATACTTTTTTCAAAATCTATTTTTTGACCCCAACCACTTACTGAGTTCGCGTACTGAATAGGGCTTCGCCAGCCGGCCGCCGCTTGGGAAGGGTTAAGAGATTTGAAATGCCGTTGTACTGAAAGGAATCCTACACACGCTAAGGAATCAGGACACCAACATCTAGTACATTCTAGAACACAGGAAACGCTTGTCTCTACACCCAGCGTGACGTCATCAACCCTTCCACCCCTCCTAAGGAATGCTACGCAGTTGTCTCACCAATATAACCTTCGTCCTCGCAAGCTTGCACCAGTTAGTGCCTGTCACCAGCTCTGAAGATGGCTATCTGCAACGAAGCCGAAACGTCAGCGACTAGTGTTTCTCCTAGTTTTCCGGCGTGGTCGTACCCAGAAGACCAAGGACTTTGTGTTATGAACTTTATGTGTTATCGTATATTTATTAATTGATGAAGACTTCTGTCAGATTTCATGGACTAATTTGATGTTCGATTTGAGTGTGGGTCTTATGACCCAAAACTATTAATCTCCAGACTACAGTCTATTTGACTGAAAACGGACAAAGGTACGTAACCTATTACAAACATTGTCAATTAAGACTAGTTTATTGATTTGTTATGCCTCGTCTGTGAATAGCATGTGTGGTATTTTTACCTTCTTAGAATTTACAGTCTTGTATGAATTGGTTTTAATGTTGTACAGTAGACTCCCTCTTATCCGGACACCTTTTAACTGGACATTGGTTTAACCGGACTACACTCGGCGGAAATGACATTGGTTTAACCAGACTAGATCGGCAGGAAGTGGGCGGTACTGAAACGACTGTTCTCGTGGGAAAGATTTGAGACTAGTGATCATGTGTCTTAATACAATGGTCTCCTAAAT